TGTCAACATTATAAAGAGTCAAAGCTATGAAATACTCTACCCAACTAAATTAATAAATCTATATTAGGAATATGACAGCCAGTATGATGTAGTGATTAAAGTGCCAGATGAAGAGTGGGAAGAGCTGTGGTCTTGTCCTTCCTTAGCCCTTCAAATGAAGAGCCTTCATTCTTCAGCTTATTGATTTGGGCTGGTAATACGATGTTAATAATAGGATTGTTACATCTTTCATGTAATCATATTATAACCAGTCGCAACACTTAGCTGATTTTGTCTGATTTTCAGAAGTTAATCAGGGTTGGACCTGACTAGTACCTGCAGAGAAGGTTAGACAAAAAAAGGCAATGTTGTATTATTGCCAAAGAAACAAACTGGATATGAAGTGAATCTTGTGACTTGAGGGAGGCTGTGTAATCACTGTGTGTAATCACTCTGTGATCCATTTGGACACCACAATAAGCCCATGCTCTTAGTGGTGCTTTATGCACTTATATAAAACAGTATGAAATATACTACTAGGTCACATTTTTAGAAAAGTTTAATGCACAGTGATAAATAAATCAACTGCCACTAAAAAAACAAAACAAAAACCAGAATATTTACAAGTGTATGATAAACCCAGAAGATACATAAGGCCTAACATTTAACACTGAATTTGCCTATGCACATATGTGTATTTAAAATAAAGTTGCTTTTTTAAAAAGAATATCATACTTTTTTTTTCTTTCCTAGCATTTTTCCCTCATGTACAGGGTCCACTTTTGTTTTTCAGATCGACTGAATGTCAATCTATTGGTTGCGACAGGAATTGATGCTGACATCGTGGGCTGAGAGAGCGAGACTGGCCCAAAGTCACCCAGCCTGTTTTCATGCCTTAGGCGGAACTAGAACTCACCGTCTCCTGGTTTCTAGCCTGGAGCCTTAACCACTAGACCAAACTGGCTCTCACTCAAGAACACAATAATACTGAATATGTTCATATTCTACATACTGAGAAGTACTGTTCTGCTTCAAGTTGGTCTTGAATTTCTTTCATCTGTCCATCTGCATCTTGACGTTCTCTGACAGAGAATAAGATAAATGCAATTTTAAAATAATCTAGACAACCCGTGACCTGTTGGGTCATCATTTCAAAGATATTTCCTTACCAGATTCCTCAATGCCTTCAACAATGGCAGAGCTTCTAACTACTGCCTTCACTGGAAAAGTTCTTAAAAATTCAGGGACATATTCAGAGATGTATCTGCCTTGAAAATAGCCCATCATTCATATTGAACTGCATAGGACAGTCAGACATCAGGAGTTGACCACAGGAAATGTTTTATGACATTTTGCCAAATTTCAATTCCATGGGAGTCATAGGTCCTAGATTTTGGAAGCATTCTGTAAGTTAGCCCATTTGAGGTACCTTGGTTCAAAAATTGTTGGCCTACGATGCACCGTTTCACCCAGTTCAAGGTTACACACAGACAAACAGGAGAGTTTTAGTAGTATATACATTAGTTCTATAATGAACACTGCTGGAATACATTATTACCTTCCTCCTATATTTTTACCTAGTCTAAGTCAGCAATGTCAAAGTAAAGACTGACTTACTTTCAGAAGCTATTTACTAGAAAAATGTAATCTTTCTATATTTGGGAGAGAAAACATACTACTCATAGGCTTAATCCATTCCAGTTGGCAGGCCCATGAATGGCAGACACTGGGGAAATGGGGACATACTGGGAGGAGATATTCCTTCTGTTCTGACTGGAATGATTTTCAGGGTCTTAACTGCCAAGGCCAGGTAAAACAAGTTAGTCTTTTCAAAGCTTTGTCAAGTCACAGTTCATTAAAGGAGGAATCAGAATTCAAAGGAAGGCAAGGAGACTGCCTGATGCCTGTGGAGTGGAAGAAACTGTCAATCATGTCCTTTAGGATTCCTTGCTATACAAGACTGCTTGAGATTTGCTGTTGCAGGTGTGCTGAGTGCTCTAATTCCTTCTTTAAGAGACAGAGTAAGTGAAAAACCTGCTTTATAGCTCTTGTGAATATTTTTGCGCATTCTAGAGTTTCTGATTTATTTGGACTAACTGAACGTAGAGTTTCCTTTAGCAGAAAGTGTTGATGGGGCCTATTATGTTGTTGCTTCATCATTATCCTAAAGAAGAAGAACAGAAGCCAGTGCTGGAAATAATGCTTTCCCCCTCACCCAGGACTGACTATTTGGCTTGTTCTTTTCTTGTACCCTTTCTTGCTACTTTGGCTGAACGAGTAGATCTTGGGAGTCTGCCTAATCCTTATTGGGCTGAAAGACAGATGGAAACATAATGAATCCTACCTGCCTACCAAGCACAGTAACTCAGTTTTTCCTGGGCAGGATCAGGTGGAGAGATTTTCTGTCTGCTGCAGCATGAAGAAAAGTGCTCTTTATGGGATGGGGTAGAAAACACTGTTTCCCTGCTTCATTATATCTGGATAGACGTTCCCCAAGCAAGAACAGACAGGGAGACCCTCCTTCCCCTGCTCTTACATGGGGAAACAAATGACCTCAAGGGGTGGGACTATGTCCAGCAAAAGGCCTTTCCTGTCTGAAAGCTCCATCTCTGACTTTATCTGGCCTGCAAGGCTGGTGAGGGAACAGATCTGCTCTTAGTTTGCTTATATTCCCTAATCAGATGTACAGCCACAGCACTGCATGTGTTGATGAGGTTTTAAGGTGTAGTTTTCCCCCAGCAATTTATGCTACAGGTACATGTAAACTGGGCCCCAGAGAGAGCCAAAGCAAAATATCTGAATGTTAATAATGCAATTTCTGTATTTCTTGGCTTATGGCTGTGAACTCAAGTAAAAGTCAAGAATTCCCTAGTATAATTCAACACTGCTGTAGAACCAATTGTCCTCTGTGTGGCAATGTACCATGATTTAGCATTGCATATCTCAGTTGCGAGTCACAATCAATTGTAATAGAATATAACATTTATTGCTGAAGGGACTTACTTGCGGAGTTCATTATTTTGTTTTTCCAGGGTTAGTTTGATTTCAGCAAGATGGTTATTTTCTTGTTTTAGCTGCTTCTCTGTCATCCTCAATGCATTTACGTGCTGGGTTTGCATTTTGAGATCATTTTGTGTGAGGCAACGCTTTTGTGTTTCTTGCTCAATTTTCAGGGTCAGGATTTCCACCTAGAAAAGAGACTGATACTTTGGAGACATACTTTTACGGCCATATACATAGAAAATAACATATCCCATGTTATTTTTTTTTAATAACTGGGTAATCTTTCTCTTCAAATCCCAGCTGCTTTGAAGTAGAACTTAATGGTCCTATATAAAGAGTAGCTTTGGTCAAGGAATTCTTCCTAGTTTTTTAATTTTTGTTCCAGCTGCAGAGTAGCACATCAGTATCTAAACAAAAACTGTAAACAAAAGCTTTAGCCAGGTGACTTTGAAGTATCTCATTACAACACTAATATCATATTCCTAATTGAAAGCCAGTCCCATTCTCCTGTCAATTTTACAATCATATAAATGTGGCCTTTCAGAACTACAGTCTTATAGCCCAATTTTATAGATACTGACTCAAAACTAATTGCCATTCTGCAATGGGACGTATTCCCAAATTAGTGGGCATATGACTGCAATTTTAAGTCATTTTTATTATTATGAATTGGACTAATGATATGTATTTTAAAGCTAGTATAATTAGTTTTAAATTCTCTTCCTTGACTTGGAGAATTTTAAAACAAGTAAATGAAAATGTGTATTCAGAACAAGGCATTAATATTCAATGAAGCTTTTGAGCACTTTATAGAATGAGGGTGGTAATTTTTTAATGTATACTCAAATGTTTTGATTCATATTCATGAAGTACCAATAGCTTTTGTTTTTCATTTAAAAAATCACGTTTCACATAACTTATAGAACAGGGGGAATAAGAGACATTCTGAAATCCAAAGTATTTCATGCAGGAGTACAATGTAACTTTGAGTTATACTCCAGAATACATATTCCTGGTTTTTAAACCTTCCCAGTGCTGCAACCTGACAAAGAAGCATCGCATGTGCTCAAAATCACATATATGATCCTTTGGATACTGCTGATTCATTGGGTTCTGTCATTTTAGTCCATACTTGGTTCTGATAAAAGGTAAATATAAACTATGAAAGTGGAACAAAAATTTAGATCTCTACACAGAGTTATTTTACCATATATGTAACAAAAGAGGGGAAAAGCAAATGTTAAAACTGATTTTTTAAAGTTTATACTTACATCTTCACTTAGTTTATCTTTCTGCTTAACCAGCTCATTTATTTTCTGCTGGGATTGTTTCAGATCACAGTCCAACATAGAACACCGTTTTTCAACCTCCAATAAACAGTTTTCTACTTTTTGCTTTGAAGCTCTCTCTTCAGAAAGCTTCTTTTCCATTTCTGTGGAAGGAAAAAAACAGCTATTTTACTATATGCAAACTCAGGATTCTTTGTTTAAAATATATACACACTTTTATAGAATTTGGGACCTAAGCTAATGCATTCAGACACACCACTGAAGATGGATCTTTGAGAGGAAAACGATAGAAATCTAGAAAGGTTCTGCATATTAATAATTCACTGAATCTGACAAAAGTCCTGTGAAACCATTTTGGTCAATAAACTTGAAATGAACAATTATTTAAGGCATTTATCCAAATCTCCCCACCTTCCAATTCATTGTAAGCTTTCTTTTTTTCCCCTCTAAGAACATTTTGTTCACTGCTTCACATACTTTCAACATTTCCTTAAAATGTGACTGACTTTTTAATACATAGGATAGATACATACAGGACACACATATATATGAGCATGCTTTGATTAAGCAAGCCCATAGTCTTTTTTTGACCAACAAGTTGTGTGTGTGTGTGTGTAACTCGATCAAATTTCCATAGAAGAGATTTCATATATCATTTCTCATAAAAATTTAGAGGCAGTATTATACAATTTGTGAAACAGCAGCAGAATCCTCTGTGTAGCCATTCAAAAATCAGTTCTACTGCCTGGTTTACTGCTTACAGGAATGAAGCCCGCCAAGTGGGTCATATTTTGCCTGTATCTCACCATCTCAATCCACAATCTAGTTGCTGACATATATCTGAAACTAAACAAACTTAGGCTAGAACAATTTGATAGGGTTCTGCAAACTTTCTGAAAGAAGTGCTCCACAAAAGAGCAAGAGCATGAACAAAGGACCGCTATTTAAATCATTAAAAGCCTTTGATTGTGTTGATCATGTCAAGCTGTGGAATGTGCTTAGAAAAATGGGAATCCCAGAGTATCTCATTGTCCTCATGTAAATCCTATATAGAGGTCAGGAAGCCACAGTACGGACAGAACATGGTGAAACAAATTGGCTCCAGGTTGGCAAATGAGTGAGACAAGGCTGTATACTCTACCCTTATTTATTCAACCTATAACCTATACACGGTCTTGTGCTGGTTCGCCTCCTTTCTCCAGGGCCGATCCCCATCGGTGGTGATAGGGAGCGAGGGGTCCCATCCTCCGCCCCTCCTTTGTGGGGTGCCGCAGGGTTCGGTTCTCTCTCCGCTCCTTTTCAACATCTACATGAAACTTCTGGGTGAGATCATCCGTCATCATGAGATGAGGTATCATCAGTATGCTGATGATACTCAGTTATATACCTCCATCCCTGGTGAGGTAAGTGATGCCGTGGCCACCCTTTCACAGTGCCTGGAGGCTGTAAGGGTCTGGATGGGGAACAGGCTTCGGCTGAACCCTGGTAAGACGGAGTGGCTGTGGGTTAATGGCTCCTCTGTATCTGGGATTTTGTCATCCTTGGGATGGGGTGGCACTGCCCCAGACAGACCCAGTGCGTAATCGGGGGGCCCTCCTAGACTCACGGCTCCTGCTTGAAGAGCAGGGGGCAGCCGTG